TCAAAATAAATCATTAATTAGGCACGGTTGTTGTGATGGAGTGCATAGCTAAAGGACCACCAAATACTGAGTTTTCCATATGTTTTCAATGTAATGACTCTGGCCGAGTGGTGCTCAAATTTCATGTTAACTTCAATCAAACAACAGTAACTCGATCCTATCAAAGAAGCGATAACAGGTTTGTACATTCCAACTTTAAATACGCTACTTAGTACCCGGCTGACTATACTTCTTCTTCTAGCTTTTCAGCTGAAGATGAAGAAACGGATGGTGAATTTCCGTTCACACGTGGAAAACTGTTTAAAATTGCGTTTGGTATCGGTGATGCGGCTTTTATAATTGCAGTCAATGGACAGTATTTCACGTATTTCAATTATCCTGTACGATACTTTTCCATATCGACATTAAAGTGCTTAACCAATGAAGTCGGAGACTTCACCGTTAAGAATTTGGAGTATCACTCAGATTCGATGCTCCTGTCACGAGTAGAAAAGTTGTCCCTGATTTGAAAAGAAAAACTTTCCGAATTGTTTGTGAATTAAACTGCCTTAAGCAAAATGTTAACAAAGTTATTAATGAAAATGAAAATGGTAGAGTTTATTAGAGTTGTTAGTGCTTCATATGAATGCTTAAAAAAATTAGAGAAGAGGTAGAGAAGGATTTTTGCACCAGTTATGCCATCAATTTAAAATGTATTATATTATAAGATTTGTTTGAGACACTATCTAAAACTTATTGTTTTTTAAATAAAATTGTTACATGTTCTAGTCAACCACTTTTTAAAATGCTCATTTATTTATTTATGATAGATGGTATATTGCTGTCGTCACATTTTTCACCGAAGATACAGACGTACTCTACCACGTTTTCCACCTGTGGGTATCGATTCAAACACCTTTCTAGCCTAAACAGTTTCTTCCATTATCATGACATGATCAAACCAGCAAAGTTGCTGAATTTTTATGGGCTTAACTATGTCAATGTTGCGGTATAGCTCATGCAGGTCATGGTTCTATCTTATTCGATACTAGTTGCCAACGCGTAAGGAACTATAGATCTTCCAAAGAATTTTTCTTTCCAAAGCTACTAACGTCTTCTCATCACTGTTGGTTATGACCCAAGCTTCCATATACCAGGACAGGCATGATAAGAGATTTGTAAAGCGAAATTATTGTTATTGTTTCTTAATTGTTTACTTAGCCCGAAGTAATATCTGTTGACAATAGTGATTCTTTATTGGATCTCTAGGCTGACGTCATTTTTGCTGTAAACGCTGGGTCCCAAAAAAAACAAAGTCTTTCACAACGTTAAATCCATAATTGTCAAAAGTGATGTTAAATAAGAAAATGACTAGATATTATTTCTGTAAATTTGCAGTGAATGACAATTTAATGAGGACGTCAGAATATGTTTATAGAAAGCATAAGTACAGGATAACTTATTTTGTGCTTTTAAAAGTAAACGTTATTAAAACACATATTTAATTATTTCAATACATTGTTTAGATGTTGCCATAATCTTACAGAACTTGTAAAAGATAACATTAATCAAATGTCCACCATGGTAAATCTTAGAATATATACTGTACCCCTTTGAGGTCACTTTTGATGGCTTGTTTGTAAAAGCTCATCATGATTTAGTGCAACAAAACAGTGTTTCTGTTGGCTTGAAGCACGGTCCGAATGGAACCACATCTATAGTTTAATGACAAAAAAAACTCAATATTTCATTAACATCCTCGACACTCATACCGGTAAGAGAAAGTCTCATATGTAGGTCTTTTTGAGGTATATAACTTATGGCTTCTAAATTACATTAAATTCTACTTTAAATTATCTGATATTTTATTAGTCTGATAAAGACATAAATGTAGAATTCCTCATGAAGAACGTCTACCTAACCATCTTACTAAGCAATCTAGAGTCTGTGAGGACTGTCCGTTTTCACAAAATCTACTTTTGATAGTCTTCAATAAAATTCTTTATGTCATCGTAGATTGGAGAAATCGGAAATATTTTATGTATTGCTTAAAGATCTGGATTAGTTAAAGTTTGTTTATTGTTTTAGTAGCATCACAATATGTAGGAGAAACTTAACGATTTGGTTAAAGAAACAATAACACATGCTCTTGAAATAAATTTAAAAACGAAGGCCTTAAAAGACTCATATAATTAACTATGACCTTGTTCAACTAATGCCTCTACAGCGTCACAACTACAGGCGGTGGTGCAAAAACAATATTGCCGCAATGTAAATCATCGTTTATGCCATTCAGTAATATTTGGACTTGTAATTTTCCTTTAACAATTACAAAGCATCAAATATTGAAATCCAATAAGCTATCCGTGCTTTTCTCCGAGTAAAACCTGGCTGATCGCGGATACGCGGGTGGAGAATTGACGATCAAACACGATCAGTAATTCAGATCTGTGATCAGAATTACAGCGTTGTGACATTAATAGGGTGCCCAGCATGAATATTCCTCATAAATAGAGATAAGTTGGACAGACATTAACGAAGTCATATAATGGAAAATGCTAACATACGTTTAACTGGCATCCTCAGGGCAACGTAAGATGAGGATGACTTAAAGTCACTTGGCATAAGATCATACACTCTGGCCCTATGCTATTTATGGAGTTATATTAGCACTAAATAAATTCAATTTGAGTAAATTAATTTTATATATATTACAAATTTTTTGTTACGATTTTATTTTAGGCCAGCAAAGTACACAAAAACAATTTAGTAATTATTTAAAAGGGACGGTAAAAATTACAATAAAATCATTTATAATATATGATAATGGTTAATGTATACCAATTATTTTTTAGAAGCTCTACAATATTTTTATGGGTATATTAATATTTTTGGATTGTAATTAAATTAGTTCAATCTGTCTTTCCTTCACTTTAATCCTCTAGAAGTTATTATTTACATATATGCTATTGTTTTTATTTTTAACTTTGGTTTAAATTATCTTTTATGTTTTAGTTCTTATAAAAAACTTATATATATGTTTCTATAAATATGTTTTCTTACTTATAAGTATACAGGTTAAATAAGATATTCTCATGTTTGTAAAGATACAGTGTTAATGCTTTTTCTTTCATATGGGAATATATCGGTTTGTGTAGATTAGTAATTACGAAGTATTAATTTTTTGATGGCTCGGTATAAATTGTGTTTTATATTTGTAATCTTAAATTTAAATTGAGATTTCATTCTCATTTTTGTTGAAATTGAAAATAATTAATTAAAAGTTGCAACTTATATAGAAAGTTTGATAATTTATATAGTAATCAACTACTTTATATTCTTGAAGTAAATAAATATAATTAATTCCACTATTTTAAGTTACTACTATAATTAACAATATTTTCTGATTATTTGATAAAATGCAGTACTACTTTTATAATAATTATGCATATTTGAATTAGTTTTTGATTTAACTTCCACAGATGGCGCTTTTCTTCAAGGTGTAATTTATGTCACGTTCTACCAGTCAAGAACTCGTCCCAAAGTAAGTGCAAAGTTTGATTTTCTCGATTCTCATAATATATTAGTTTATACCCGCATCTCGTTTAAAATAAAAAAAAAAATTTCGTACACTTTCTCACCTACTTAAATGGAAAAAAAAATCGTAGACCTCTCATATAAATATATATATATATATGTTTATTCCCATATTTATAAAAGTGCTATAGTTATAAGGAGTTTGTTTTGTATACTTTGTCAGCCCACAGTTTTTTAGGATCTTTTTCCCATTCATATCACTTCTCTATCATATGACTGTCTTTATAAGATTTTGGCTTTCTGTGCCTCAGTTCTCAGACCAGAAGTGCAGATGTAAACCCAAAAAAAATTTTTTAGGACACATATCAAGATATAGATTTTTTTTAATATTTGAGTATATTAACGACGATATTTATAAAAATGTATGTTTTCTAAGAGTTCATATTCCACTTTTTTCTCTCGATTCCAGATTAAGCAAACCATCTTAATATTTGAATAAATAATCGTTCAAAATATTTTTCTTAAAAAGTTTGCAAAGTTGAATACTTCTTCCCTTATTAAAAATTTTTATAGCTAGGAAAATATTAAGTTTCTTTATTTGATCAATTTTAATGTGAACGGATGATGAATTGTATTATTTCTTTTCACCATTTTTCTATGTACTATGTGGTTACTTCTCTGCGACTATTTATTGAGAATATAACGCCTTGGTTTATCGCTACTATTTCATAGGCATAAATAGCGCTTTTTGTATATATAATCAGGTTAGAGTCCACTAAATATATAGGTGATATATATATTCAATTGCATCTACTTTTGATTCCCGAAGTAAAAATGGATGTGCTTATGCAAGCTCTAAATTAAAAGCAGTCGAAATTGGATTTTGTCATATACTCCTAATACAGTATGTATGTCAAAAGAAGTGTTGTTTTCGTTAGGTTTTTATTTTTTATTATCTTTAGAAACAGATTTTTATTGCGGTTGTAACTTGTTGCTGGGTAACGATGAAAGCATACCCAGCCTAATATGTGTGATTGACCCTCACATATAGAGTGGTGATGGAGGAAATAATCAAAGAACAATATAGGAGAGGGATTGTGAAAATTTTCACATTTATGTACAAATAAATATTGATAGTATATTGAGGTTATCGAGAACTAACCTTGAAATAACAAAGGTCTTAACGCTGGATTGAAAGTTAAAAAAGTTATATTTTTAATTTTCAATATAAATAAATAAAATATA